TATCTAAATGGTGGTGGAGAAGCATACAAGGTGAAGATCAATTGTGGAGGCAGGTTTTGGTTCCAAATATGGTGTGCATAATTTTTTTGAGCTGATTGGTAAAGGCGCAGGTCGTGCTCATCAGTCCCATTTATGGAAAGGCATTTGGTGCTGCAAACAAATTTTAGAGAGGAACATACGTTGGTTGATCGGGCAAGGAGATAAAACTTATTTCTGGCTTTCATAAATAGCTGGGAGATAGACCGTTAAATATGTGTTTTCCTATGGGTTTTACTAGCTCTCAGCCATGGCTTAAGTCAATGAGGTTGCGTTAATAGATAATTTGTATTGTGTGGAATATTATTTGCTTGTATAACAGGGTCCTGGAGGTTATAATTTCTCAACTCAACTATTAACAAAACTAAATTCTACGTATACCTCTTCTAGTGGTGCGGATGAGGTGATTTGGGAATTGGAGAATGATAACCTATTCTCGGTCACATCTGTATATTGATTGTTGTTCAATGATCGAATGACATGGACAAAGCCGGTATTGAATATAGTATGGAAGTGGCCAATTCCTTGCAAAGTACAAGCATTTTTTTGGGAATGCAAAAGAATATTTTGATTGTTAATTTGATGAAAAGAGATAAGATTTTGACAAATATGTGTTTGATATGCAAAGACAATGAGAAGACATGAGACTATTTGTTCTCACATTGTTCCTTTGGTATTGGGAATGAAGCTTTAGATGCTTTGGACTTTTATTTGATGTTGCCTAATAGCCATATGAATATCGTTCAACACCTTAAGATGACTGGTCTATTGAAATATGCGAAGATAGTTTGGAGATTTTCAACGGTGTTGTGCTATAGGAGATATGAAGGGAGCGAAATCGCCAGATCTTTGAGAGGTCGACTTTGAATAGGGAGAGAAGCAAGGCTACAATTGTGCTTACTTTCTGGTGTTGGTTCACCATCGCAAAGAAGGTTGGAGGGTTTCTGAAGTTGATATCATATTAAATTTAGAAGATATTGCTAGACAATACAATGAAAAGACAAGACCGAAGAGTAGATGAGTTTCTCTAATAATTGGACGATACATACTCAACTTTGATGGTAGCTCATTTAGAAATCTTAGTGCTGCAAGAGTTGGAAGCGTTAGAAGATTAGATGGCAGCGTATACAGTTCAGTTGTGCTAGGCCATGTGGGACGAGTTCTATTAATCAAGCTGAACTACCCTCTTTTGCATGACATAAAAAAAGTTTTTTCTAGAGGACAATTGGTACACCATCTTATTGTAGAAGGAGCTTCACTTAATGTGATTCGTTGCTGCAAAAATGAACAGAGAATACGTTGGAGTTTTGAGATCAACCTAGTTGAATATTTTGGATATATGCAATTCCTTGATGGTTTCCTTCACATACATATATAGAGAAGCTAATGAGGTGGTTGATTGCGTTGCTAAATGAGGTGTCGCTTGCGGCTCGTCAAACTCTCAATATTTGAGTTCCTACGTTTAATGGGTGTGTGAGATTTGTACTTTGAAGTAAAAAGTGTCAAATATATATAT